ATTTCCCTCAAGATTCCTCTGAAGACTTCTTCGTCTTTTTGAGAAAAATAAATCCAGGTTTACAGTATTCGGTGACTGAGCTGCGGGGGCGTTGACCCCTGAAACCCTCTCCAGGTAAACACTGTATATTTGGACCACCTCTGGGAACGAATTAATGCAGATAGGACAGAAATGATGGTGTATACAGAGAATAAAAGTATTATTCTTATTTCCTGAAAGAAAACACATGCTGATTTTCAACTTTTATTGTTTTTATCATGAAACAGTCATGTAATCGAAGGTTGTAGATCATATTAAAAATTATACTGGTGACTGTTTCAATGTGATAAACAGTCTTCTCTTAACTGTCTCATAGTTATGCCCACTAATGCAAACTCGGCATAGACTACATAGCGAGCTTTTATTAAATATACATGTATTTAGCAGTTGAAATTCATGTTTGTAAAAAGTTCCAATGGCTAAACAGGGCCTTTTCTTCAGTATTTATTGACACTGTTTAGATTTCTCAACAGTTTTAACTATTATTCTAAAACAATATAATTAATAATAGATACTGCACTGCATACTGTATAACCTAGAAAAATTGCTATCCCAAAATGCCAGTCTCCAATATTTGACAAATAGTGCTACCATTTATCTAAGTAACTGAAACAGTTTTTTAAAACCTAAATACTTAAAGTAATATAAATAATATTTTTACAAAATACAACAAAATGAAGTTGGAAAAAATATCACTTCTTGACATGAAGCGTTGTATTGATAATGGAATGACAAGATTTAAAGGCTCGGAGAAAATTGGTTGGTCAGTATTTATTCTAGCTTAAGGACAAGACCCAATTTATTTTTAACCGTAAGAATAAGTTAACCATTTCTTAACCATTTCTTAACCATTTCAGGTTAAGTCATACTCTACATTAATATTTTCTAGTGTAAAGCTGGTAGTGAAAGTGCTCTTCATTAGATAATCATACAATATTATCCAGGCATACTCAGATTCAATGGACCCGGGAAAAATTCTACATACCTAGTAAAGTAACATGTTCAGTGGTATTATATAACCTTATATAGCCTACCTGTGTTATTTACATGCTAACTGAAGTACAGTCAATATTTAATGTTGTATACCTGTACTGAAAATATATGAAAGGATTGTGGATAACATCAAAATTCTATGACATTCTCTTCACAAAAAAAGAATATCACCTAAACAGAACACTTTCAATTTCACTTTCAGTAATTATTCCAGTCGTGATGCTGGGAAAATGCTTCGTATGCATTACTATCACTTTCAGAGATCCAGCTTGGCAGTAATACCTCAACTGCTGCACCTCTCAAGTAAGGCATACATGCATACTACAGTTGAAAGATGCCATTGTTTTGTGTTGCTTATAAGTACAAGCAAACGAGTGTTTTTAGACAAGCTAACTTCATGAACCTTGACAGGTAGAAATCTTACTGGCTAAGCAGTGCATCAGCAGAAATGAAACACATAAGTATATCCACATACATAGTTGACTGTTCTGTAAAGCAAGACTTTAGTGAGAGGAACAATACCTCTCATGGATGGCGCATGTGAGAAGACCCCCCTCCCCCATAAATTGTGTATCCCCAATAGTCAAAATGTTTTGAAAACAATGCATGATAAAACTTATCATTTAAATTCTAACTTTAGTAGGATTTTATATAATCAATAATTCTTAACTAATATTCTACAGTGCTATCCTCATCATTACTAACACCTGGATTAAAAATCCAGACACGAGTAAATACTTTATCATGGCAAAACAAATTCTGTCACTGTCTTTCTCAGCATTTCTTTGTAGGTATAGTTAAGACACAAAGACTGAAAAAAAAAAAGTTGGTGTCACTTTTGGTGGTTCAAACCTATGACTGCCAGCCTCTCAGTTCACTCGACAGCTTCCTTCCCACAAAAATAGTACATTTTCTTCAAATAAAAATATCAGAAAACTTTAGAGTTTGGATTCAACACATACACAGTATAAATTTATTAAAGGCATAGTGGGATGATGTACCTTTCACTTCATTAGTTAACAAACCTATACACTGCTTCCTTCATGGCTCTCATTCAAGACTACACACAATACTACACAGTTTCAGCATAATACTGGTGTCTTGTTGAAGATAAATAACTTCCAATATATCAGATGATGACCCGTTCAGTGGGCAACCATCAGCCGGTCTTCCAACACCGTAATGTCCTAAGATATTATTACATAGCTCAATCCAAAGACCTTCAGTGATGTCCTCAATTTAGTTTTTAAAGTCAGAAATTACAAATCAAAGTTTATCGAATGCAGCCTATAATACCATCACCAATCTTTTTTTATATAAGCAATTTAATTACAATGTCATGCAATCAGATAATACTAAGTCGTTTAAATGTCTGCATACTACTTTATTCCCTACAAATGCAAGATTTGAAAAATTCTATTAACTACAAATAGATTCAACTACTACCTAATAAGGTTGCTATTATTGATGAAATTTACAAAAATAGGAATACACATCTATTTCGTGAATACTACAGTGAATATCCATTAACAATTGCTGAAAGCTCAAGTCAAAGCATTGAACAGAATATATATACATTTTATATATATATATATAATATATATATATATATATATATATATATATATATATATATATATATATATATATATTATATATATATATATATATTATATATATTATAAATATTATAATATGCAAAACAACCACGAGTGTCACGAAAGTGCTTGGAATTTCTCTATTCTTTCAGAGTGGTTGTTTTGCATATTTTGAATCACCTGTTTACTGTGATCTTATTGCACATATATAATTATATATATATATATATATATTTATATATATAAAATTAATTTTATATATATATATATATATATATATATATATATATATATATATATATAAAATATATATATAATATATACATATATAATATATATATATATATATATTATATATATCGTGCCGAATAGGCAGAACTTGCTATCTTGGCTTTAAATAGCAACGTTCATCTTGCCATATAGAACAAGTGAAAATTTGTGTATGCAATAATTTCGCCAAAATCATTCTGAACCTAACAAAAAAAATATTTCACTGTGTTTGTTTAGTATTAAATTATTGTAAACAAATCAAAAATATATTTAGTTCGGTTAGGCTAAAATAAATTGCTCTTGTTATAATAAGGTTAGGTAAGTTTTCTAAGTTCCTTTTGGTGCAAAATTATAAATTTTTACATTAACATTAATGAAAAAAAATATATCTTTAAACGTATAAGAGAAAATTTTCGAAAGGACTTAATTTTAAATGAGTTCTTGCTAATTGACCAGTTTTACATATTCGGCATGACATATATATATATATATACATATATATTATTGTGACCATGAACGAGTCATATATAATCAATAACAACACTGTGACTAGCTGAGGGCTTAAACCCATGTTGTTTTAGCCTGCCTCACGGTGAGTGAAAATTCACGACGCTCTAACTCATTGGATTGGATGGTCCAATGGGTTAGTGTGTCGTGAATTTTAATTCACCATGAGGCGGGCTAAAACAACACAGGTTGTAGCCCCCAGCTAGTCGAAGTGTTATTGATATATATATATATATATACATTTATATATATATATATATATATATATATATATATATATATATATATATATAATATATATATATATATATATATATATATATATATATATATATATATTATTATTATATCTTGTTTTCCTTGTATACTTTTGCAAAAGCTGTAAAGTGGCTTAAAGTAAATAGGTTCATGAAGGTAAATAAATAACAGTTTTGACTTGAGTTTCAGCAAGTCATCGGAATTTTGTGCTATTGATGTGTATATACATCAGTGTTAAACCCTGACACTGAAGCCCTTACTAAAGTTTAGTAAAGACCTAAATTTCAAAATGTTTCATGATGCTTAACTCTCTTCAACATTATAATACTTAATTTAATAGTCTAGAAAAAAAAAGTTAAGGAGCAAACCATCAAGAAAAATTCACTGAAGCCCCACAAGATGCTTTATTTTCAGGGCCAAAAGGACTACTACAAAACATCAAGAATAGTCAACTCTTAAATAAAAAAAAAAACACTATTACCGCTGAGAAATTGCACTTAGAAATTTATAAATTGTTGCGTAGATCAAAAACACAGCTTGTCTAGAGACTCTAGCAAGTCCCAGCCAGACTTAGTTTTAGCAAATTTACAAGTCTAGAGGCAACAGCACAAATATAAAATTTGATTAACAGAGAGAGTCACTGCCTATGTGAATAAATATTTATATAATATATATATATATATATTATATATATATATATATATATATATAATATATATATATATATATATATATATATATATATTATATATATATATATATATATTATATATATATATATATATATATCTACTATTTGGAATTCATACAGTTGCCATTCTCCTGAACATTTCAAAACATCGTGTGTTATATGAAAGACAATAGGTCCTTAGATGGACAGAAGTGATTTTCCAACACCATAAAATTCATAAATGGTTAAGAAATTAACATCTGCTAAGCTAAAATAACAATAGAATTCTTCCCATCACACACAGAATATTCCTGATAGGAAATTATCAAGTGACAATTTGCCCGTCTTTTGAATTCACAATTGTATTAAACAAAACATCTTAATTTTTTCCTTAACCGTGTTATATAAAACATGGGATAGCTCTGGTTTACATAAAGGATGTTTGTAGTATATGATGCATCGAACACTGCACAGTTGTTTATTTTAGTAGGTTAAATCTGAAGGATTACTGCAGTCACATGTTCTTAATAAGTGTCCGTTAATGCATCCTCGATATCAAGATCATAGTCGTCATTCTAATTCGCTGGGTATAATTAGTTTCAAAATCAAATTTGATTGTTTCTTTTATGATATCACTCCTATACCACATGCAAGGTTTTGTTTAAAAACTGGAATACTACTAAAGACTGCAAGTGAAAAATATCTGCAATTATTATATAAAAATAACTATTAGACTCTTGAATCAATCACAAGTAGAAGACTCCCAAGCCTTCTATACAGGCTGCTCACTGAACCACAGTCAAAGCCTGAAGATTAACCAAGATACCAGAAGAACCAAAGGTGGTGTTAACTTGGTAGACTTCTGAAATTCAGTTGGCATTTGTACGAGACTAAATGTTGCAACGTAACTGCAAGGCATAGTCTTTAGAAATGCAAACAAGAACTGAAGACAGCCTAACCGCATCACATTTCTTATAAAAAAAATCAAAGTAATGAGCAAAAGAACAACTAATGGGCATTTTCTCTTGGTGCTTTGGTGTTGGCGTTGGTATCGCTTGACTCACTCTCCTTCTTTTCACGCTGAGTGCTCAGTGCCAATAGCCTCATTTGGCGGATCACGGCTGTTGCGTGGTAGGCCTGCTGTAAATAAAAAAGTTGAAACCGTGAAATGACATTGTTATTATTTTATAATAACTTACTGTTCTCTCTAAATAATAATTTCTTCCAAAACATATATTTTGTTTATAAAACATATAAACACATTCCAGCCAGTAAATTTTGTTAATTTTCAGCAAATTATGTTTAATTTATTATTTATACACTGTATTAATTGCTTAATAGCAGAAAATCAAGAGAACTAAAAATATTTGCTATTTACTTTAAGCCACTGCTGCTACTGTGTTAATATTGGATGGCATAACAGCCAGCGTAGTTCAGACTGTAGATTCATTCAACAACTCAAGAAACACTACAAAATCTCTAACAAATCCTACAAATCTACTAATGCACGCAAGACCTAAACTAAATGTTTTTTTTATTACAATGATGAGAATACTGAGCAACAACAGACCATATTTTTGTGCAAATTATATGTATGCATTCCACATTTTGAAGATTTAGACACATGTGCAACACCTGTGTATCTTTATTGTAGATGTTTTGCCATCCAGTGGCTTCATCAATACAGATTCTAGGACAATATTTGAAGACAGTAGAACTATATACAAAAAAAGTGGTAATCAGTCCCTCAGCCTTGGAGTTGGTGTGATTACCTCATCTTTTGTATATAGTTCTACTGTCTTCAAATATTGTCCTAGAATCTGTATTGATGAAGCCACTGGTAGGCGAAACGTCTACAATAAATATACCCAGATGTTGCACATGTCTAAATTTTCATCTTGTTGGTATTGTATACCATTCTTGTACATTCCACATTTTCATTGTTTCCTCTTACAAAGTCTTGGATTACTCTTAAATTATGTCCCTTTCACAGTTTACTGTTCCCAATCTATTACAACAAACTGCTGTTTTAAGCAAATATTTATATCAAGCATCTTTTTTTTTTTTCAATTTTATGTACAGTAGTGTAATAATGTAGTAACTAAAACTAGCCGTAAAGTAAACCTTTGGTAATTTCGACACTTTTATGCAGTCCAGGTTAATTGGTTAATTCATTAGGTTGAAAGACTATTGACCAGATAGGGATTAAATAGATCATATGCACTTCTTCATCTTGGTACTTTCTTTTGTTTTCAATAACTATTGCCATGATCTTATAAAATTATTTAAATCCCTGTTGGTAATTAAGTCTTATCAGATTCGGTGATGCAGCTATTGCTCCCCAGTCAAAACATATCAAAGAAAACTACGAATGCTTTTCATATGTTGAAATTGCAATGTTCACTTTTATTTAAAGTAATTTGTATGAAAATGGGTGTTTTTCGGTTAGTGACAAGAAAGACACGGAATACATGGAGAGGATGGTGGTGACCTGCCACCAGTGTTATCCATAGGCATAGTGACTCTTCTTTCTGCGCTTCGGCTGCAAATGGCTATTTAGGAAAGATCCTGGTATAAAGTGGATGGTATAAATCAGGAATACTATAGTCTCTAAACTCTCAGCATACATATACACTATGAGACATACATCTATTGGTGTGTGGTAGATGGTATCCATAGCACAGATGGTTAGTGAAAATGAATCTTGGTGGATTCTTTAGCTGTGAAAATGTGAGGATAGGTACCTTGTATCGCAGTGACAGTGCTAGAGGCTCACACTCAGAAGTACGTACTTTGGTCAATCCTTAGGTAAGGCAGGACATATGGGAAAGTTGTTTTACACATTCTGCTTCTTTTGCCTAGTACAAAATTGGTAACTAGGAGTTAATCGATTTTTTTTGGGGTCACATCTGGAGGAGGACCTAAATAGGAAATACACCACACTGCTTGGTTTATCCTGGGTTTTTATTCCTTTGAGTTATTAATCCAAATAATGTCTTTTGGGTTAGATTTTAGAAAGCATGCTAAAAATTATGATATAAGAACATAAGAACATAAAGGAGGAACACTGCAGGAGGCCTGTTGGCCCATACTAGGCAGGTCCCTTACAATTCATCCCACTAACAAAACATTTGCCCAACCCAATTTTCAATGCCACCCAAGAATATAAGCTCTGATGTGAAAGTCCTACTCAAATCCAACCCCTCACACTCATGTATTTATCCAACCTAAATTTGAAACTACCCAAAGTCCCAGCCTCAATAACCCAACTAGGTAGACTGTTCCACTCATCAACTACCCTATTTCCAAACCAATACTTTCCTATGTCCTTTCTAAATCTAAACTTATCTAATTTAAATCCATTACTGCGGGTTCTCTCTTGGAGAGACATCCTCAAGACCTTATTAATATCCCCTTTATTAATACCTATCTTCCACTTATACACTTCGATCAGGTCTCCCCTCATTCTTCGTCTAACAAGTGAATGTAACTTAAGAGTCTTCAATCTTTCTTCATAAGGAAGATTTCTAATGCTATGTATTAATTTAGTCATCCTACGCTGAATGTTTTCTAACGAATTTATGTCCATTCTGTAATATGGAGACCAGAACTGAGCTGCATAATCTAGGTGAGGCCTTACTAATGATGTATAAAGCTGCAGTATGACCTCTGGACTTCTGTTGCTTACACTTCTTGATATAAATCCCAGTAATCTATTTGCCTTATTACGTACACTTAGGCATTGCTGTCTTGGTTTAAGGTTGCTGCTCACCATAACCCCCAAGTCCTTTTCGCAATCTGTATGGCTAAGTTCTACATCATTTAACTTATAAGTACTAGGGTTATGGGCACTTCCAAGCTTCAGAACCTTGCATTTATCTACATTGAACTGCATCTGCCACTTTTCTGACCAAGAATAGAGTTTATTTAAATCCTCCTGAAGTTCCATAACATCTACGTTTGAATCAATTATCCTACCTATCTTTGTGTCATCGGCGAATTTGCTCATATCACTAGTAATTCCCTCATCAAGATCATTGATATATATTATAAACAACAACGGGCCCAAGACTGATCCCTGTGGAACGCCACTTGTTACAGATCCCCACTCGGATTTAACCCCATTTATGGACACACTCTGCTTCCTGTGAGTGAGCCATGACTTGATCCACGAGAGCACTTTTCCCCCAATGCCATGAGCTGCCACTTTCTTTAACAGTTTATGGTGCGGAACTCTATCAAAAGCCTTACTAAAATCTAAGTAAATAATATCAAATTCTTTATCGTGGTCAACAGCCTCAAAAGCTTTACTGAAGAAAGTTAATAAATTAGTTAGACAAGACTGGCCTCTTGTGAATCCAAGCTGTATAGTCCTTGTGGCTTAGCGCTTCTTTTTGATTATAATGATAATTGTGAATCCATGCTGAGTATCATTAATCAAGCTATGCTTATCGAGATGGCTTCTTATAATCTCAGCTATAATTGACTCTAGTAATTTGCCTACAATTGAGGTCAGGCTTATTGGGCGGTAACTTTGACGGTAACGACTTGTCCCCTGTTTTAAAAATAGGAATTACATTAGCCATCTTCCACATATCAGACACTACACCTGTTTGAAGAGATAAATTAAAAATATTAGTTAATGGTTCACAGAGTTCCATTTTGCATTCCTTAAGAACCCTTGAAAAAACCTCATCAGGACCCGGCGACTTATTTTGCTTCAGTCTGTCTATCTGCTTCACAACCATTTCACTAGTGACTGTGATGTTATATAATTTATCTTCTTCTAGCCCACTATAAAAATTAATTACTGGAATATTGTTAGTGTCTTCCTGTGTAAAAACTGAGAGAAAATAATTATTAAAAATCGAGCACATTTCATTCTCTTTGTCAGTAAGGTGCCCATAGTTATTTTTAAGGGGACCTATCTTATCTCTAACTTTTGTTCTATAGACCTGGAAAAAACTTTTTGGGTTAGTTTTAGAATCCCTAGCAACTTTAATTTCATAGTCCCTTTTAGCTTTTCTTATCCCCTTTTTAATGTCCCTCTTAATGTCAATATACTGATTCATAAGATGACCCTCACCTCTTTTGATACGCCTATAAATTCCTTTCTTATGCCCTAGTAGATATTTGAGCATTGTAACCTATATCTGTGAGCATTACATCATTAAACACTGTATTATCTATGGGCCAAGATCAAACTTCTAATTTTGAAATAATTTATACGAATGAACCTTCTCAGAGCACACTGCTGATGCAGAGACGAGTCTTTCAGTCAAGATTAACTATAGTATCAGGTTTCTTTTTGCTTTCTGAGATATTGATATTAACAGGTTAATTCAAACGTTCAGTTTCTTTTGGTATACAGTGGACCCCCGCCTTACAATATAATTTCATTCCAGAAGTATGTTCAGGTGCTGTTACCGAACGAATTTGTTCCCATAAGGAATATTGTGAATTAGATTAGTCCATTTCAGACCTCCAAAAATACACGTACAAAAGCACTTACATAAATACACTTACATAATTGGTCGCATTGGAAGCTGATCGTAAGGCGGGGGTCCACTGTATTCTGAAATTATTTGGTCGTCTCGAACTTACAATTAGAAAATTTTCTCAGGATTTTGTTTAATGAATTGTTTGAGCTTGTGAAAGAGTTCCTGTCTGATTTATTGTGAGGCATTGACTGACTTATCTCTGATTCAGCGGCTGCCTTCAGGAAGATGTGTCTTAAGTCAATTAAATTTTTTTGCTTGACCCCGGGTTTGTTTATTATATATTCTTTCTTTGATATACTAAACATTATTGTGGTAGCTCCTCTCCCTCATCACGCTGAGCACCACATCAACAGTTGTGTCCTCACACAGTAAGTGGTCCCAGTTCAATATCCCTGTTAATACACTGTCTGTTTGTTGACACAAGACCCAGGCTCGGGTGGCTTGGTGGCTGATGATTTGTATATGTATTCATTTTGATCTGTTGATGCTAGGTGAGCACAAATAAGTAGTGTGTGTGTCTTCCGTGTACCTTACGAGGATCGCGTGCCCACTACTACATTCATTGAATGGGCCCACATGGCTTTAGCACTTCACTTTCTCCAGATTGAGTTTCTTGTAGACATTTGTGACTGCCTTTGT